TGAAGTCTCCCATGAGAACCAGGGCCTGTGATCGTGAGGCTTCTTCCAGCTGTCTGTAGAAGGCCTCATCGATGACTTCCTCCTGATCAGGTGGCCTGTAGTAGACCCCCACAACAGTGTCACCCATGTTACCCTGCCCTTTAATCCTTACCCATAGGCTCTCAACTTGCTCTTCATCCACGCCGAGGCAGAGCTCCATACATTCTAGTTGCTCCCTCACATAAAGAGCAACTCCACCACCTCGCCTTCCTGGCCTGTCTTTCCTAAAAAGCACATAGCCATCCATGACAGCATCCCAGTCATGTGAACTATCCCAGCATGTCTCTGTCACTGCAATGAGATCATGGCCCTGCGACCGCACACAGATCTCTAACTCTTCCTGTTTTATTCCCCAGCTGCCGTGATGGGGAATAAGGTCAAAAAAAAACCTCTGGGGGCCTTAAATGACTCTAGATTGCTCCTTTGCCTTTTAGTCTGTTTTCTGGTCTCAGTTTTGTGGTTTCCTTTCTGTGGGTGGGAAAAATTCAGCCACTTAGAGTGACTGGGCTTGTCGCTGGCCTTGGGGAAAATGGAAATCAAAGAGTTGATGGTTCAGGTATGGCTACTGAAAGCGTTGGTTCACCTATTACGTGACTTTTGCAGGACGTGCATACAGACTGCTCAGCATAAGAACATTTTTCTCCCTTCCACCTCTTCTTCAGGAGGAATAGACGAGGAGAAAAGTTAACAAAAGTGTTGAGATGGGAGGCGTTGTAGAGAGAGGACTTGCACAAGTAGGGGATTTCAGGGGTGAAGGAGACTCGGCAGACAAACAGTTTTGGAGCAGAAGCAGAAGAAGACAAAACAAGTCCTGCAGCGAGGGTTTATTTTTAAAGTCATTCTGAAACAGATGTGCGCTCCTAGCTGGTAGAGAGAGGCCTTTAAGAGGCAGCAGGGCACAGCGTTCGGCTAGGACGCCGCAGCCGGTAGGCTTTCACTCGGAAGCAGTGTCCGACACAGCAGTCACTCCGAGAAGGCGTTTCCGTCCAGCGCTTCTACATTTACGCGATTGCTTTCTCCGAGGAAGGGAGGACAAAAGCTAGTTTCAAGTAACGGACACAAGGAGAGACCTTTTAACTTATTTTAGGATGGTTTAGGTGGAGTAAACCCAAGAGATAGGTCTTGGGAGCCCTGGGGCTCTTCTGGCAGATGATGCCCTGCAGCGCGTCTAGCAGACGCTGCGTTTGGTTCCTCCCAGAGTCTTGCCAAGGGGAGGTAGTGGAAGGGGGGAAATGTATTTCCTTAGTGGCTTTATAGCTTTTGTGGGTATTTGCTGCCTCCTTGTGACAGTACAACGATGTGTGATGTTGTTCCTCCAAAACAGAAGGTGTTGAGTGTTTTCAGAAGGTTACTTATTGGCCTTTAATTGCTAATTCACCTCTAGGCTTCCTGCAGAAAGTCTTGGCTTTGGTGCCAGAAGTGAGGCAAGAAGCAGTGAAGGACTGTGGTGCACACAGTCTTGTCAAGTATGTATTTCCGGGAGGGAATGTAATGTGAGGGTAAAGATGAGCCTTTTAGTTTTCCACTCTCTAGCTTTCTTCTCCAAGAGAATAAGTGAAAATCTAGGGACGCACTGCATTCAAATCAATGGGAAATAAGAAGTCCATACTCGCAACTCACTGAGGCCACTTTTTTCCTTAAGGAGAGCCATCTTCATAGGGCTTTAGTATGTTTAGACTTGTGTCTTCACTTGTGGGTGTGTGTTAAGTAATAAGTAAAGACTTAAGGTATATGCTGTACTCATGAAGAGGCAGGGGGCAGATTGGTTTTTTACCGCAAAACTCAGTGGTAATCCTGTACCTCCCAAAAAGGAATACATGGTGACTGTCAGAAGTGCTTATCTGAATTGTTCATAATATCGTCTGGTATAGGATAGTAAGACGTATTTCTGTACGCGTATATGTCAGAAAAATATAGTCACGTGTTACCTACTGACTGCCCCTTAAGTGTTCAGGGCCTGATCCCATGCAGTTTTCGTAATATATAAGCTGTAGGAAATGACATATAATCAGGAACAATTACTTCCGAGATTTCCGAGGAGTGGTGTCAGCCTCTTTGGCTACATCTGCGGTAGTAAATTAATCGCGCGAAGGACTGTTTTGGGGCCCTCGTGAGCAGTCCGTGCCTATGCTAATAAACGCTCTCGGCATCCAAAGCAGAAAGATCCCATGCAAAGTGGATCCTCCCCTGTGCCAAATCCCAGGCTGTGCCCAGCCATCAGTCGGGAAGGCGCTCATAGGCATAGCCCAAAAGCAGGCTAGGGAGCGTTTTGCCATTTTAACGGTATAGAAAACCCTCTCCCAGTGCCCTGGGAGGTTCCCTGGCATGATTTGAATTGCTCATATTGTTTGCTTATCTTAAAAGGTCTGCTCCCTCTTTCTTTTCCATCTCAGGAGAAGGCTCTTGCTGTCTGTCCTTTTTTAATGATTAATCACCGTGTTACCAAGTCTTTGCACTACTCTGTGCTAAAGAATTTGCCATTGCAGAGTAGGACTCCCATAGGGTAGGACTCTCCGATGTTCTGCTCAAAGGAGAAAATGTGCACTCCCTTACCCCTCATATTAGACAGATGGCACGGCATTTATGAAAAGAGGGGGACAACAGTGGGGCAAGAAACCTGTGGTCATCAGAAATCATGGTCCTTAGGTCCACCACTGTAGACCTTGTGTCCAAGAAGAAGCAGTCACCAGGGTTTGCAGATGTTCGGATGAGCATGTCTGGAGGGCATGGGGGAAACCACAGAATTATTTGATAGCATAAGGAGGTTTGGTGATCTGAGAAAAGGAACGATGTCTTGAGGGAGGTCTGAGCTTGTTTTTGAAGGCAGGGAGTATTGAGCAGTTGCAGTTGTTCCTGCACCGTAGTCGTTTTTCCGCGTGGCCGTGGATCTCCATTAGGAGCCCTGGAACGGCGACCTGGAAGGAGGCTTAAATGTGTGGTTTTGCCCTTTTAAGTGGGAGATGCAATGCCATGCTTGGAGCTTTGTGCCGTCAG